ATATATATATATATATATATATATATATATAAAACAAATAAATGGATATGGTCCATAGTCTATATAAAGAGACAAAAGGGTAATTCCTCATAGAAAAAATAGACTAGGGAAATTTTTACCTTTTTTAAAAATAGATTAGGGTTCAATGATGTTTTTCTTTTAAATCTAGTGTTCACTTTGTAAGTAATCTAGATTTGTGTCTATGAAGTCCATTAGAAAGGGAAAATATATTTTCTTCTAGATCTCATCTGGAAAATTAGAATTAAATCGAAAGTAATCTTATTCATTCCATCACAGTTGTTAATAACAAGAACAATTATGTCATTTTAATTTTGTCTTCACTCGTAATTTAACCTCTAGATCCATCCCTACGAACAACTCGAGTTGTTATAATAGACCAACATGGTTTGTTATGTGTAAACCAATGAGTTAATTAAGAAATATACCAATGAGAAAAAAAATACATAGGAAAATATGTATTGAATAGGACTTGCACTTGTATAGGAAGAGTTTGAGACGTCTCTAAATTCAATATTTGGAATATTGAACAACATTTATAGTAATAATAATAATACCTACTAAAAATAGACTATATATAAAAATAAAACCGTCCATAAATATAAAAGCAATAAGTTTACCTTACTTAAAGGCAATAAAATGTTATAGTATTATTTACGAGTTGAATTGTGGTCCTTCATCATGTACGAATTGATTTTAAAATATGTAGTTAATAACTAGTATGTACCATGACTCCATGAGGTCACAATCTAAATGTTATAACTTATATATATAAAATTAATGTCTTTCTTTTTTTTTGTTTAACCATAGATATTATATCTCTAATTCCTATTTCTTTTTGTAGTATAAATGATAATATCCTTAAACTATTTGAAATAGATCATGTTTACCCTTAAATTATATTTCGGTTCAAAACTATTCTTTTCGTCAAAGTATTAGGTCAAAAATGTTCTTATTATGGAAGTTGTTGAATGTCACATTGCACGCTAATAGGGTTCCACTGCCACATAGACTAAACGGAAAAGGGTCAAAAATATCCTTAAACTATCTAAAATAGCTCATATTTACCCTTAAACTATATTTCGGCTCAAAACTACTATTCCCGTCAAACAATTGAGTCAAAAGAACTCTTCTTATTAATGAAAGCTGTTAAATGTCAAGTGGATGCCACATTGCATGCCAATAGGGTTCCACTGACACCTAAACTAAATTCAAATTACTCCCCCCTCCCCCATTTTATATTTTCCAGAAACAATTTCACCCCTTCTCCCTCATTTTGTGGCTAGGATTTCATAGTTTTATTCATGGCTGGGTTTCAAAGAGAATATTTGTGGTTGTATGTTAGTAAATATTTTTTTTTATTTTATTATGTTTACGGTTTCAAAGCATGATAGTTAAGATTTCACCCCTTCTTCCTCATTTTTTGGCTAGGGTTTCATAGCTTTCTTTGGGATTGGGTTTCAAAGGGATATTCGTACTTGTAGGTTAGTAAATCTTTTTTCTTATTTTATTATGTTTACGGTTTCAAAGCATGTTAGTTAGGATTCCATAACTTTTCCCTCATTTCCCGGCTAGATTTTCATAACTTTCTTCGGAGTTGGGTTTCAAAGCGGATATTCATGGTTGTATGTTACAAAAATTTTTTAATTATTTTATTATAATAAGAAGGGCACATTTGACCCAATAGTTTGACCGAAAGGGTAATTTTGAACCAAAATATAATTTAATGATAAATATCAGCTATTTCGAATAATTTAAAGATATTTTAAACCCTTTTCGTTTACAGAAATAACGTCCATATTTTTGTTGTTGTTTAACCATAGATATTATATCTCTAATTCCTATTTCTTTTTTTTTTTAGTATAAATGATAATTGACCACCAATACAACATTTGGTTTATTACAATTAGGTTCCCCTCAAATTTAAATCATTTTATAAAGTCTAATCAAATGTTTCATGAGAATAAGCTCCCTTTTTAATAAATATATTCCATGTTTTAATTACCTTTTATTGTCATCCTTTTTAACAATTTAATATATACTATCACTCAACATTTGGTTTATTACTCTATATGTTATGGGTTAAGTTCGATTCGAAAAAAAATTATTCTGATAAATTATAATATTATTGATTGGTGAATTATTTATCATACTAGAAATTAATTCACATTTAATATATTTTTCTTTTTTAATGATATAATATTATCAATTGTCACCTTATTCTAAAACAATCTAAATTTTCTGACTAGAAAACAAACAAAATATCTGAACTTTTATTACTTGGCAAAATTACAATAATACACTTATAACAACTATACTTATTTTAAAAAAGAGCCAATATACTCTTCTCTTTTTTCATATGACAAATTTAATCAACAAATAACATAAAAACAAATTTTTGCTTACAAATTATACAAAATCATTATACGATAGTAATTTACGTTAACTGCTTATCCAAAATTTAATGCATCTTTTCATCGACAACAATTATTGATAATAATTTTGAAATTATCAAACTGAGAAAAGGACAACCTCTTGTTCCCGTTCCGTTATTAATCCACTTGTATTCCAGAATCATATGTTTCACCACCTTTCCAATTTTGAGGAATATTATTTAAAGGAATAATCCATTTTTCATCTCCATCATCAGAACTCAATAACATTCTTATTTGCAATTGTCCTTTTGGTGGTGATGAACTTGTCCATACTGCGCCACGTGTCCTATCCAATAATTTGCACACAAAATTTTCTGTCTGCATATTTGATAAATCAATATATTTTCAAAGTTTGGTGTATATGCTCGAGAAAATGCACAAGTACCCTTTCAATTTATGTCGAAAATTTCAAAGACACATTTATACTATATTAAAGTTTTATTACCTCTGAACTTATTTTATAAGTAATTTTCTATCCCTTTTCAGCTTACGTGGCATTAGCTTGAAAAAAAAATCAACCAGTATTGGGCCCACAAGATAGTGTTACATAGACCGAAAAGAGGTTATAAATTATTAATAAAAAAGTTCAGGAGGATAATAGGATCTTAGTATAGTATAAGTGTGTCTCTGAGATTTCGAGCAAAAATTGAGAGGGATACTTGTACATTATCTTTATATACAAAATTAAGGATTCAAATATACGAATTCGATAAAATTCAAATATATCGTATAGGTGTTTTTAAAAGATTGATTATGTTTAGGAGTCTAGTATTTATTAGTACTTGAGGTTGTTGTAAAAGTAATATCTCAAATTGTCATTAAAAAATATATATTATCAGTATATATAAGTTAAATTCGTACCTCACACAATTGAACTGCGGAAATATCAGTTTTGCCTTGTTGATACCATATAACAAAAGCCAAATAATAAGGATTATCACTACTCTCATCAATCTTGAATGTAATATTCTTATTTGGATAGCTACAAGAAACCCTGTTAATAAATTGATACGAATGTTTAATTAATAGAAAAATATATCATATAACATGATAGATTAATGATTCCATAGCAAACATGATTATTACAAATGAAATATTTTTATAGAACGATACGTAATTGTTATAAAAAAATCTGACTATAATAAACAGTATTGTTTATCTCAATACTGCTATATCAAAACGTTGCAATTTAATTGTGTGACTTTGACATCTACTATATATATATATATATATATATATATACTTACTATATAATAATAGTAATTAATTTAAATATAGAA